AACATGCTATATCTAAATAAACGACTCTCTGGCGATTGGTTATCGCATGCATTATAATACATCGTTAAGTCTAGTGTGTTATCGTGTAATTTACGAGAATTGGAAAATTTACCATCATGAGGGCTACCCACGAGAAATTATGCGATGTCGTGAATGCGATCGCAGCCAAGAAATGAAACACACGTGTGAAAAGATGAACGAACTGCGAAAATAGTTATGACTAATTTAAAACGAGTCATGAAGAACAAGGTCACGATGTCGAAAATACGTTCGTTAAAATAATAAAATGAATTACATAAGATTTCGAACTGAGAGAAATTATGAGATTATCACAGAGGCAATAATTTGAATATAATCAATATCTCTTAAGTAATAGCTAGTCGATAAAAAATATCGATTTATAACACACATAATAATGCAAATGTACCTTATTTTTCTTTTTCATTAACACAATCATGAAATAGATCTAATCGCTCTACAAATATCTCCAAAAGAGAAAATCACCTCAGAAAATTACAGCGATATTAAAAGGTATCGATCATTAATTCTAGCCAATCCTACTATTAGTTAATATCGGAGTAATATCTAGCAGTTTCACATCCTCATTTCTAAAAGAAAAAAAATGCCTACAATTAGAGAAATAAATATACAATAATCAGTTCACACATTAGTGTTGCCTATCATTCACTCAATTTCTAGATATCTTGATGTCCTGATTTTAATAGAATAGCAATGTGTGATATGTCCTACACGTGTACAAGGAAGAGGGTCAGGAAGAGGCGATTAAGAGGCGCCAGGTCAGGGCACGTGAAGGCGATGCCTCTATTCGTTCATGCGTTTCTTCATTACGTAGTTTGCGCCTCGCCTTTCTGTTGAACTCACACGACACAGTTTCGCGGTCGCGTTACTCTGTCGAAACGCACTTTGCACCAACAAACGTGCCCACAGCACGCTCAATGGAGGACAATGGCGTGTTCCCGATAACACTCGTATCACGCGAATCATTTTCCCAAGGACAACAGACTAAGAGATCGATTGGCAACGCGAATACAATAGAAACGATCGCTCCAGGAAGAGTAATCTTGAAAGAAAATTTTTATATATATTTTTTTAAAAAGATAAAAAATATTATGTACAGTCAATATTATATCTATAGATAAAATTACATTTCACGAAATTATTTTTTATTTCGAAGTTTTATTTCGAAAGATAATAATCGATAAAGAAATATAAAATAGATCTCTTTATCTAATCTAGATATCTAGAATCTTTTTTTCATTCGCATAAAAATGCGAAATCGAGGGATAGAAAATCTTAGAATAATCTTACAATAATCTTATATAATTTGAAATTTTATCTAATTTAAGGGATCAACGGTACTTCTTATTCAGAGTGAGTAAAAATTTATCGCGAGATCGCTAAAAATGCGCTTATTCGCACGTTCGTTTATTTCGTCAGGTGATATCGTTCGAAAAAAAATGCACGTGTTCGCACGTGTCTGGAGAAATAATTATACCTTATATCATAATGCCTTACACATTTTACCTATTGATTATCACTTTTATCTTACAAGATCTTTGAAACCAAAACTCATCGTTTTATAAAACATATATTATTTTTTTTAAACATAATATATATTTCATATATATTTTTTAAACATAAATTTTTTTTAATTCAAGGATGAGTTGCAGTACAAAGCAATATTTTGGAGTATCATGACATGCTTTTTAATATACGTTGTATCAATCGGAAAATATACATTAATCATTCGAGCTAAATATAATATCGATCGAAAAGTATGAAATATTTATTCTGCGATTTTTTATCAACAATTACGATTGAATAAATTATACAAGTTTGTTAAACTTGTCGCGAGATAGGCTATAATGTTTTACTAGGATTTTGCTCATGATATAGATATGATCTATATACATCAATTACGTCGATCAATCCATCTCGATCCGACGATGCGGCTTGATTGCTTGGTTAGTGGTGCGACAAATATGGAATATAGACCGCAATCTCTCACCGATCTCGGGAGGTAAATACCGCAAAATCGGAAGATAATTATATCCTATCCGTTTTCCACGGCCTTTCGCTATATCGTTGATACTTCGATGCGTAGTTATTTCGAAGGACTGACACGAATATGTAATAACGAACAATAAAGCACGATAACGAAGAAATTATCGATCTCTTTATTCTTTTCGTTTGACTTGAATCGATCAGGAAAAAAAAACAAGGAAAGGAAAAGTATCAAAATTGATGCAGATATAGAACAGATGTAAAAATCTATAAATAACATAAACTATTTTTTTATTATCATCATATGCGAATTATTTAATTTGTTAAAGATATCTAGAAGAAAGAATTTTTCGAGCTTCAAGAATCACGAGTACAAAGTTTTTGATGAACATATTTAAGATAATATGAATGAAATAAATATATAGAAAAATCACGATTTTTGATGAATATAAAATATATTGGGAATATGTAAAAATTCAAATTGTGTCGTAAATAAATGCATTTACGGTAATAAAAAGTGTAAGCAAAACTACTCGATCGAATGAATTTAAAATTGAATTACATATTGAATTTTCAAGATGTATGCAGAATAAACAATACAGGACAAAGTATATAAAAAATCTTTTTAAAATAAAATGTAATAAGGGTAAAATATTGTTTCAAGAAACACCTTGATTTTGATATCTTCCCTCTTTAACATGTCACTATTTCTCACAAAAAAGAAATTTAATTGCATAAAATTCGCAAAAAATAATGCGCAAAAATAATTACCAGCATAATACATGAAAATCTCGGTTTGTCTATCTTAATCGTAAATATATCGCGAGGTTAGGTTTAATGTTGAAACTTGCTGTCAGAGTCAAGGTTACAAACGTCAGATGCAAATGCGTGGCATTGACTCCAATATTACACATTATGCGATGGAGGACCCCTCGGAGTAAGTGTCTGATGTCGCCGCGCCTCAATGAGGTCAATACACTCGTTGCATTACACGTGCCATGAGCTCTATTATGCGTTTCTCTACTAGTAAGTATCTGGCATTCGATGCATTTGTGCATACGAAGAATGAGGAAAAGAATTATCGCATATTTGTCTCACGAAATAAAGACATGACAAAAGTCAACAACTGTATTATTACATATTGATTATTTCTTGTATAAATATGGTTGAAATTTTTTGATCATCAGTTCTTACATCAGTTCTCTTACGAATTGACGATTTTTTTATACAAAAGCGATTCCAATCATGATCTAAGAAGGAATTGAAACCACAATGAAATAGCAAAGCAACGCAATAAATCATGGTTCCGCATTGTATGATAGAAATAAGAATAATGAATTATACAATTTTCAGTGATCAAGACGCAAATCGACATAAATCGATTCTAATTAATTGGCATTACATCATCGGCGAATCATGCATCCTGCAATCTATCTTATTGCGATATAAGAAAAAACGGGAGAGTAAAATTAGCATTCCCGAGTCGAAATTTTCCTTCTTTTAGATTTCAATATTCAATTTAATATTTAATTTAATGTTTTAAGCAATCAAATCACCCTATCTTGAAATTATAAATTTAATCTCTAGTTTTGTTGAAAGATCCTGTTTTAAATCTTTAAGTGAAAAACTGATTTTTACCGTCTATTTAAATAAAGTAAAAACTTATATAATATTATGCTTATATACTTATACAATTTTTATGTAAATAAAATTCTTAATAAAATTCTTCAAAGTCCAAACGTAAAAAAATAGGGATTGAAAATGGAAACAAAATTTCAACTCAGGATTCTTGGGAGTCATTTTGGAAAAATGTAAAAAATGCTCGCATGTTCACTACTGGTTTTGCATACGATTCCAACGATTCTGCATTTCCCATCACCTCTCGGCGAAGTCTCGCTGAGCGATTACGCCAGGAATTTAATGCGCCGCGCGATCTCTCGCGCGAGATGATCGTAAAAATAAAACGCAGAAATGGCGTGCGGCTATGAAGATAAAAATCTCGGGGTTCGCGGTTATCCTTTCGCTCGCCGCGAAAAGACGGCAATACTCTCGGCGAAGAAAAGCAATCCATATAAATTCCGATGCCCTTAATGGTACACGTGCCATGAACGGTGACCCGAGTAACGTTTTACTGCACGATTTTTCGCTCACGCTATGTGTAATAACACGAAGATCAAAATCAATCAAGAAGAAGAGGAATGAATATGTTTACGCGCATGCACACGACGCACAGAATACTTGCAATTATCCAATAATAAAAAAAATTGCTGATATTTATAGCTCATCGTTTTTATATCGCGTGGAAATGACGATGGTTTGTAGATATTTCTTGCATAAACGAATATCTTTTTTATGATATTCCTTGCGTAAACATATTTTTTTATGATGTACGTAAATATATCATAGTGATCCATTTGATAGAGTAGTATATTATCTAGGTATAGGAAATATATGTACAAGATCAATATAATTTCGTAACAAATCAAAGAAGAATATCTTTCATTTATTATAAAAATTGAAGCAGAGAATTCTTCTGTTATGACAGAAGAAAACAGTTCTTAAGAATCACGTAATTTAAATAGATTAAATCACAAGAATACTTTGTATGCGACTATGATAATATGCAGATATTTACATCGTCCATTTAAAGACTTGTTCGTTGAGTTTGTGGAATACAAGAAATAAATTCTTTCTCTCTTTAACACTATACAAAGCGATTGCGAATAATATACTATAAATGAATCTAATTTTTATAAATGCAAAACAATGTCGCAAAGCATATTACAAAGAAAAGAGAGAGCACGAAATTATTATACAAATAAATAAATAAATTGAATGTAATTTTCACAGGAATATTTTTAAAATGTTTTCATAATTGCTCACGTTTCTCATATAATTTAATTTCGATTATACTCCTTTTCCCTCTTTCATTTTATTTTATTATTATTGCAGAAATCGTTTTATTTTTATTGTAGAAATCCGACATGGTGGAAGAGACGGTCCGGTTTGGAACGCGGGTTAACGGTGATAGCCGTTTCCGGGTTTCTCTTGTGCATCGCTTTGGCCGTGGCGCTCGGAATTTTGGCGTCCAACACGACATGCAACACTACATCCATACCAGGTAAGAGCATTCACTTTTACAACGACCCACAATGCAACACGAGCCGCTCGCGCACGCATGTTATAAGTGCAATGTCATTCAAGAAGTGTGGAAATAAAATTCATATATGTAGTTTCCTTTCGAGATTTTGTCGTGTTAAAACCTCGCATATATGCCTTTGAATGAATTGCCTAGATTTTTTATCCCAATATTGATTTAGAAACTCAATGTTGGTTTTGTTGTACGCTTGGAATGCATATAGCATCGAAAATTGAATATAAATATCTTTATTATTTCTAATGAGTTAAAAGAAATATGCACAAAATTTAGATGATTCCAAATCTTTAACGTTCCAGTATATTTAACGTAAATTAAATAAAGTAATTTTAGAATGAAATCACAATCTTGATTGGATCTTGCATCTCGAGACTATGAAACTATTATTTTACTTTTAAGATGAATCTCGATATAATTTCGACGGAAAACAAAAAATATAATAATAAAATATAATAATAAAAAATATAATAACTTCTCATTTTCTTTCACGTAATGAGACTTTCATAACATCTGAAAATTTCTCGAAGAAGATCTCATTTTCTTCTTTCAATCTAAGCCAAGTGCAATTTATAAATCCGATCCTACGCGTACAACAACGAACTATCATGCATCGGCATCCCAAGAGGTGCATTGGTCTCGCGTTGCGACAAAGACGTTACTTAACATCATCCAATTACATTAATCATTAATACCTGGAATGAAGTTGCTAGTGGCATAGGAGCAAGGTATAATTCTCCGCGACATGGCAGCGATAAACTTCTGCAATGGCTTATACAGACACAAGTAAAAAAATGTCAGACACTATATCTTATAAATCTTCTATGCAATAAATGTACTTTGCGACATCAATGATTTAGAAATGGCAATATCTGTTGGAAAAAATTTTCAATATATTTTTTTCTAATGCATTTAAATAGCTATAATTTTAATTTTGTATTATTTAATTTTTTTGCAAACGATAGATTATTTATTTATGATCTGAAAGAGTTATTATTGTACGGAAAAAGAGCGCGAAGTTTATGTATATTAAAACATTTTATAGTATATATATTTATATTTATATATTAAAAGAGGCTAAATTTGTTCAGGAAGATGTTAATGAAAATTTTAATGGTATTTAAATCATACGCTTTTAATCACCATTTTAATTATTGTTAGACGTATTATCGAGATATGGACGTTTATACATTACGTTTTTCTTTCATATCTCAAAGAAAGAAAGAGAAAGAAGTAGGATGCACTTTTTAATAGCTCAATGCGACAAGCGGTGATTACCTTTATGATCGAAGCCGTTTGATAACGGTATGTGTCGTAAAAAGTTTTAACCGTGAGAAAATAAAGTACGTGAAATTGCATCCTTGTCGTAAATTTTATTTATAGATCGTCTTTTATATATGTTTTGTATCAAAAATGTTTTATCAGCTCATTAAATGAATTAAAAAAACAATATGATGTTACAAATATAATATACAGGGTGTCATATAACTTTTGTCTGAAACATTTTTTCGATTTTTTATTATTTTCCGAAATATTTGCCTGGGGAAATTAACATGAGACACCCTGTATATTTCGCAGAATTATAAAAAGTTCTTATTATTTATATATCAGTATTTATCAGTATTTATTTTATTTCGCTATATTATATTTTATATTGTTAACGAGAAAAAACGGTCAAATATAAATTAAATCAAATATAAATTTAAAAAAAATTATTGAAATTTAGTTAAAAAGGCATTTCATAATTTTTGAATTTTCCATGCAAAAAATGATGCATGCATAAATTTAATTAAAAAAGTTTATAAATATATACTACTGTGTCCAAAAAGTAAGACCAGTTTTCAATTTAAATCGCGCGAGTAAACCGCACATCATAAATATTTTTTTTCTAAGTTGGCGGCATTGTGACAGACATCTGTGACAAATTTCATGTCAAAACATTCATTACTTTTTGCTTTACGCTTGGTTTTGTACAACGCTAAAAGTGCATTCGGCGATTTTTACAATATGTCTAATTATATTGAGCAAAGAAGTTGCATTAAATTTTGTTTGCGGAATGAAATTTCGGGTGCAGAAACGTTCAGGATGTTGCAGAAAGCTTTCGGGGACCATGCTTTGTCGGAAAGGAATGTCCAAAAGAATGACCGAAAAGATCACGCCAAAGTCGATCGAAAATCAAGATCATGTTGACAGTTTTCATCGATTATCGTGGTGTTGTCTATTCAGAATTCCTTCCACCCGGCCAAACCGTCAACAAAGAGTATTATTTGAGTGTTATGCGTCGTTTGCGAGAAGCTATTCGCAAGAAGAGGCTAGAATTGTGGGCAAATAATTCTTGATTTTTGCATCACGATAATGCACCTTCTCACACTGCACTCGTTCTTCGTGACTTTTTCGCCAAAAATTCGATCCATATCGTTCCACAACCACCGTATTCGCCTGATTTAGCACCGTGTGACTTCTGGCTATTCCCGAAACTCAAAAGACCACTGCGGGGAAATTGTTTTGAGACGATAGAAGAGATACAACGTGAATCGCTACGCGCTCTGAAAGCCATCTCGGAAGGCGACTTTAATTCTTGTTTCGAGGACTGGAAAATACGTTGGCATAAGTGTAATGTGTCGAGAGGGGATTACTTTAAAGGCGACGAAATAGATTTGGAAGAATAAATAAATATTTTTTGAAATAAATAAAAACTGGTCTTACTTTTTGGACACAGTAGTATAACAAATGGATCATTATTCTTTAAGTTAAAAAAATTTATATATATTTTGCTTTTCTTTCCAAGACAAATAATTTATATATAAAAAACTTATCGCGAAAACAAATTAAAATATTATTAGAAAAATTCGATGAAAATAAACTTAAAGTATATTATTTTAATTCGCGCAAAATTTGCGACAATGTTTTCTATGCAAGATTTTTGTTGAAAAGACTACGCACATTTTAAAAAGATTCAAGAGGGAGCTAGACTTGTCTAAAAGAAAGAGCAACATTATTCATGACGTATGATTCGAAGTGACGTCAACGAAAGGTCGACTCTGACGCGTTTTGATATTTTAAACGGGGCAAACATTGTTTTGAGAGTTACTCACCCGCCACGTGTGTTTACACCGACGTAATAAGCGATTACACGCATAATCACGCAGTTTACAATGCGAACTAATATATTTCATTTCGTCGACTGACGCATCCCCGCAAGATATTTCCGGAAATTATGTATTTAAAAAAATCGGGACATAAAACTTAGTCAGCGCGCGGTAGTTTGATGTTGAAATGCTGCCTTTCCCTACGTGAGTACTTAGTGATTACATACGCAATTCAAGGAATAATAATAGGTAAAGCAGCGTGCAACGTTTTGCATGAACGCGTTCGAGAGGAAACCGCGATATAAAAATACGATTATTGTCGACTTAACTTTAATTTATAAATATTAATTTGTAAAAATAAATTTTTAAAAATATTTATAAATTGATATTTTGTTTAAGCGTTTTAAAGAAAAAATAGAAAATGATCAAATAGTTTATTTATTAAATAAAATACGAGCTCTCGTGATTTATAAAATTCAAGAAATATATATTTTGCAAAAATATTCTTTAGAAATTAATTTTCACATAGTATTATATTTCATATCATTGTATATAATTATTTTATTTATTATATAATTATTAATAAACATAATCAATTGAATTCTATCAACGTAAAATATATCTCTGTTTTTTAAATGCATTATGTTATTTTCTGGAAAATCTTGCATTTTTGACAGAAAAATAGAACTGATAGCTCTCTTAATCACATATATTTGCACAGCATAATTCATATTGATTGCTCGCGAGAAGAAAGATATTAAATTTTACTCTGTGTGCAATTTAAGTTTTATCACAGCTTGTTGTATATAACTCGATGCTTCACCCATCCACTAATTTGTCGCTATTACGCATTTTTTTCGCACCCGCAACCGCACCTGCATCCGCACGAGAACAGATCCTGTTAATACAGAGATGCTACCGTCCACAGCCGAAGCGTTAAGCGGATCGGAAACATCGAGCAGCGTCCATATCATACAGAAAAGCTCGGAATGCGACAATATATGCTTAACAACTGGATGCGTTAACACAGGTTAGTGAGAAATATATGACAGAACTTGAATTTTCTATTTATTTATAGATATAAATATTTATAGATTAAAATTAAATATCGTAATATAAAATTGTAGATTTCAATACATCTTGTTAAAAAGAAGATTAAGGTATATTAAACTGTATCTGTATATTAATTAATTTTAAAAAATAAAAACAAAATTTAAATAAATTTATAGTAAATATGTTTTAATTTTTTTTATCGATAAAGATTTTATAATTTTATTTAAATAAAATTTAGAAATACACAAATCAAATCATATACATATATTCACATCAGCATTGAAGTATATCATATTCTTTGAATTTATGTCATAAGGTGTTAAATATTTAAAAAGTATTCGATAATTTTGATATTTTCCTCTTTGGTAATGTTTATTTCATAATAATTAAAAATTAAATTATTTCCCATAATAAATAATTTAATTTAATTTATTTCACATAATAATTAAAAATTTTGCAATCCAAAAAATATTTTTTTATCTCTAAATTATTTATTATTCAAAAATGTTTCAACAAAACATATACTTCGGGACATTCGATTATAAGATAAATTAATCTCATCACGCGAATGCTGAAAATCTTTGCCTAAAATCGAGTTGTACTAACTTGTGCACGACACAGCCTCACAGGTACTGAAAAATATGGATCGCAACGTGGAGCCGTGCGATGACTTTTACAAGTTCACCTGCGGCGGTTTTCTTGATTCCACCATCATTCCTGATGACAAAACCAGCGTAAATACGTTCTCCATCATCGCCGACGATCTCTTGGAACAATTACGGACTAGCATCGAGGAGGAAAGTCCTCCAAACGAACCGAGACCATTTAGACTTGCCAAAGACTTCTATAAGGCTTGCATGAACAAAAGTAAGCATGACTTTTTTATATAAACCACTAGGCTTATTACTAAAAATAATAAAATTATATTACGAATTTTATAAGATTCACGAAATCAATAGCTATTTGTTAAGTAAATAATAGTAATATTTTATTTCTCTTTTTTATTTTTTTCTGAAATTTATTTATTCTTACAGCCGCTATCGAGGAGCGAGGCTTGCGTCCGTTATTGGACAATCTCAGAAAACTTGGTGGCTGGCCAGTTTTAGATGCCGAGCGATGGAATGAGGGTGACTTCACTTGGAAAGATGCCGTCTACAGATTTCGCAAATTGGGCTATTCCGTTGACTACTTCATCGATTTCGGCGTCAGTGTCGACTTGAAGAACAACTCAAGACGCCTGATCGACGTAAGCACGTAACAATTTGCAACGAAAGACGAGATTTAAAACAAGCGAAACGAAAGCCATAATTGTTCCAAGTTAAATATATAGAATTTACAACAATAAATCCGTGCTCAATGTAAGTTGATTATTTTTAGCTTGATCAAGCAGCTCTTGGTTTGTCGCGTGAATATTTATCGAAAGGCTTCGACGAGAAAATCGTTCAAGCATATTACAAATACATGGTGGACATTGCTGTGATCCTTGGAGCTAATCCGGATCGAGCCCAAAAGGAATTGAAGGAGTCGCTCGAATTCGAAATCAAGCTCGCTAATGTAAGTCACCCTCCAAGAATTTAAAACTTGTAATTGCAACCATTTGATACAAAAATATTTAAAACAAAATTCAATAATAACTTCTCAAATTTCAATCTCTTTATTTGACAAAAATAAAAGAGATCTTTCGAAATTTGCAAGACTTTCTAAATTAATTATTTTATGTTACTAATCAGTATAAACGTCAATTGCGATTAATCGACTATTATGTACATAGATCTCGCTACCTAATGAAAAACGACGCAACGTAACTCTGCTCTATAACCCTATGACTGTGAACGAGCTGTCCGCGGCTTATCCTAGCATACCATGGTGGGAATACTTCAACACAATCCTTGCGCCACAAGCGAAACTAAGTCGGGACGAGATAGTTATCGTGAACGTGCCCAGCTATGTAAAAAGCTTTGAACAGCTGATCAGCCAGACACCCAAGAGGATACAGGCGAATTATATGTTTTGGAGGGCGGCCGCCGCGTCGGTCAGCTATTTAACGGACGATATCCGAAAAAGGCAGCTGAAGTATACGCTAGAATTAAACGGCAAGACAGAGAGGGAACCGAGATGGAAAGAGTGCGTGGAAATTGTTTCTGGCAGTATGGCGATCAGCGTCGGTTCGATGTACGTGAGAAAGTACTTTAAGGAGGACGCGAAGAAGACCGCTCTCGAAATGGTCGGCGACATCAGAGAGGAATTCACGAAGATTCTGAAGAAGGTGAGAAAATCAAATCAAATTCCTGCGAAATCGCAAGTATGAGAGATGGAAATCTTGAGATTGATTCTTTTGACGTTCATTTATCTAGAAATTGAAATCTGGAAGACGAAGAAGTCTCTCCTTTAGTTTTCTTTTATCTGTAAATTGAATCGCACGAAAAAACACATGCAAGAATCTTAACATACACCTATTTACTAATGAATTAAAATCTAGAGAGTGACTATTTTTATCTATTTCCTTTACTATTCAAGAAAGAAACAATTTGTCAGAAATATTAATTTCAGAAATACTTTGACATTGTAATTTTATCCATTTAAAATTTTTAACGAAATTGCGCGCATTTGTAGGTGGATTGGATGGATGAGAAGACCAGAGCAAACGCCTTAGAAAAAGCAGCTGATATGACATCACATATTGCTTATCCAGATGAGTTGCTGGACAATAAAAAGCTTGACGAGTTTTACGACGGACTAGAATTAAATTCTGCTGATTATTTAGGAAGCATTTTAAATCTGACTATCTTCGGAACGAATTTCTCATTTGGTAGACTGAGAAAGCCGGTGAATAAAACGGAATGGATTACTCATGGAAGGCCGGCTATTGTCAATGCATTCTACTCATCGATTGAGAATAGTATTCGTAAGTATTTAAAAATAATTTTAAATTTATATCAGTAAATAAATATCAAGCGCATATATCATTAATAATAATTTATATAAATTTTTAGAAAATATTTTTAGAAAATATTTTTATAAAGTTAAGAAAAACAAAAATTAATTTAAACAACAGTTGAAAAAGTATATTTACATCATGCTGATCTTAATATTCATAAAGCTAATTTTTTTTAAAATCTTTCATTTCAATTGAAGCAAATTTTAAATCTTTTAAATTCTTTCAAAAATGCAATCGTTTTCATTAAATTTTATATTTATGTTTTCGAATAAAAAATAAAAAATTTCTATCATATGTAAAATATTATATGAAATTCTACAATTAAAATATAAATATTTCTCGTGTAAGAAACAGAAAAATTTATGTATTTTGAATTATTATTACTTTTTTAGATCTTAATCTAGCTAACGTGTTTTAATCTCAAGAAGAGACATTATTATAAAATAATATGCAAATTAATGCTGCAATCATTATTTGTCAAGTGTCAAATAATTTTCTCGCAATTTTTTTCCTAGAATTCCCCGCAGGTATCTTGCAAGGCACATTCTTCAGTAATGATCGGCCGCGATACATGAACTACGGCGCTATCGGCTTTGTTATTGGCCATGAGATTACCCACGGCTTCGACGATCAAGGCAGACAGTTCAATAAGGAAGGTAATCTCGTAGATTGGTGGGAGCCGGAGACAAAGGAGCACTATCTCAAGAGAGCCGAATGTATAATTTACCAGTATGGAAATTATACTGTGAAGGACATTGGAATGAACGTAAGGCAAATCTTATATGTTCGCTTTTTCCTACATTTATATTCTTAATTATATTTTTCCAAATTTTATATTTAAATTAAATTTTATATTTTTTAATATATTGTCTAAATTTTATATCTTTTTTATATATTGTCTATTGTAAATTTTACATTTTTTTATATATTGTCTATTTTATTTTTATGATGCAGAAATTCTAATTGTCTCCAAAGAGATATCGAAAAAATATGAAATTCATAAAGGAAGAGATTTATATTCGTGTTACATAAATTCTTTCGCATATATCTGTCGTTTCTATTTCTTTAATGAAACATTCTCTGATGATACTGGATGCAATTGTCATAACATCTTTTGTTATTCTATTTGCTGCTATTTCCGCCGCACTTAATATATAAGCAAAAACGCTACCGTTGCAAAATTAATCACCATTCAAGTTAATTTCTATTCATTGTATGTCGCAATATACCGTGTAAATGTTGTAATAGAAAATTTATGTGCAATGATAAGTAAACTTTTTCAGCGAAATCATTTTCAAGTAAAATATTTAATAGTCGCATAAAATATCTTTTTCTAAATCCGCGGAAAGAGAAAAATAATTATCTAAAAAAATATACAGTGGATCACAAAAAATATATTTTTGTCATATTTTATATAAAATAAATATATATATAATAAAAATATATTTGTTCGTTATAAAAAAATTAATGCCAATAAATATTTATCAGCATGATTAATGAATTATTCATTTTGCGATATAAGTGAATGCAACGAATAGAGTCAATTCTATCATTTTTTCGTGACGGAATAAATTAATGATTAACGCTTTAAAAAAAGAGAATCATTTTTAAATGCAATATAAAAATATTTTATATTGTAATATTGCGCCTAAGTGAAAAAAACTTGATTATATAATTCTAAAAAAGATTTACACTTTGCAGGTGAATGGAATAAATACTCAGGGTGAGAATATCGCCGATAACGGCGGCATAAAAGAGGCGTATTACGCATACAAGGAATGGGTAAGACGAAACAAGCCGGAGCAGACGTTGCCGGGCTTGCCCTATAGCCCGGAACAGATGTTCTGGATAAGCGCCGCCAACACTTGGTGCAGCAAATACCGTCCGGAAGCGATGAAGCTACGTATCACGACGGGATTCCACAGCCCCGGCGAATTTCGCGTACGGGGACCATTGTCGAACATGGAGGAATTCTCGCACGACTTTAATTGCCCGATCGGATCTAAGATGAATCCCAAGAAGAAGTGCGCCGTATGGTAGATCTCAAAGGTGTCAGCAAGAAACGGTTGGCTCCGTTATAACGTTTCGCGATCGTTTTTAACCCTATAAGCTGTAATTCCAAATGCTTCCTGAAAACAAGCAATTCGGTGGCTTTATAAATGAGAGATGTATTTTCAAATGTGCATGACGTTCCCTTTCTCCATTTTTCCTGTTTTTAAAGCCACGGTAATATTTATTATTTCGATCCTCAAACGTTAAATTGTATCGTATTCATAAAATAATTATTGGTTTTTTTTTTCATTGTAAGATTTTAGTGAATTTAGAACTTTTACACCGTCGCTTTTAGGGTTAATGAACGCAAATGAATCGTATTTGAGAATATGGAAGTAATCTGATTTCTTCTAGCATCCTACAAAACATCTCATCGTAACAGAGAATATTTTATCAGCGATAATATTTGAAGGCGAGAACTGATATTCCGCAATATCTAGCATGAAACATGCAAAAATCTGTAAGAAAGCATTGTTCATGAAATCCATAAAGATTGATGCAATGTACGTTTTTAAATGCGCAGGATATAGATATTATGAATCGTTTTTGGTAAACAATTTTTATAATAAGTAAGAAATACGTGTCATATGCGCGTATGTAAATAGAGAAAAAAATGGAATATATGATGGATTTGAAAGTTAATTAACTCTACTTGTATGAAATTATATTCGTCTAACTGTCTTTGATGTAATAAGAAATAGGATTTCTGTATTACAACGATAATGTTAAAAATTTGAAATTCCATATGATGGAATATAACTCGCCGAGCGAGATTAATTAAATTATCAAACATATTCCATTCTTTTATTTTTTTATTAAAAATTTTTATAATTTGTATATCGCAAAAAATATTGACAGATCCATTAAGAAAACACTTTTCGTTTCTTATTGTTAATAATTTTGTTAAGGCTTTCTAATAAGTAAATTAAATTTTAAAATATTCTGTTGACACATAGATGAATAGTAGTAGTATAGATTGTACAAGAATGATCTATAAAATCAATATTTGGAAAGAATTTAGAATAAACTTGTTACAGTTTTTTTAAATTTTAACAAAACTCGGATAACTTTTCATAACTATTTTACGTAAAGTATTATTTAGTAGTATTATAGAGTAGCAATTATAAAAACATTGCAAAATAATAAATATGCATTTGCGACAATATAAAGCGCTTTTACAAAAAAAATAATGCGATATACACGATTTCTCAAAGTTCTAGTTATGTTATAGATTTCGATTTTCAAGTACGTAATACATATTCGAATATTTGTTCTCTCGGAGATTTCTTGGATAAAAGAGTGCCAAAATAATTAATTTTTACATCTTTGACAGCATTTTTTGTAAGAATTAGACATGCTGGTCAAATTAAAAAGCAAGTCAAATTATAGAAAATGGATTTTTTTAAATACATTTATATTTTCAATATATTCGTGAATTTATAAGAAATATTTTATTAAACTAAATATATTAAAAAATTCACATTTTCTTTCAGTGAGTCAAATATTCAACGAATTCTATTTTTCCTAAAAATTCACTTCTTCTAAAAAAATGATTATTTTTTTTACATGATTATTATTTTTTGATACATGTAGAGGAAAGATATCAAAAAAAGATATCCATATACTATTTTGACTTCTATAGAGAAAATCTTTAGCTGAAAATTTAAAATAAAAATTTATTTTCACAAATATTTACTGAAAATAACTTTTTATCAGATTTATTATAATTTTCCTAATATTATTTCAAATTTTTTAACAAATAATCTTTTTAATAGAATGGAAATTAAAATCTGAAATTTAAATCTGAAAAATTGACATTTAAAAAAAAGTTAATTGATAAATAAACAAATTTATAAATTATATGCTTTTATCAAATTTACATCAGTTCTGATAAAGTAATAATAACTGAATTGTTAAGAAATAAGTCGTCTAACAATAAGATCTGCATCAGTTGGTATCTTTCCTTTATTTAAATAAAAAAAAACGCAGAAAAAATGTTTTATCGAAAAAAATTAAAATCTTAAAAAGTTAAATGCGCGCATTTTAGCAATATTTGACTAATTTTATTACCGATAGCGTATGTCATATCTTTAATAATAAATTAAATAAGTTATTTTAGACAAAATGTAGATCTCATGTTACGAACAACAAATTAATTTTCTAAAACAAATTAAGCTTGTAATTAAAAGTTAAGACCAAACTCTTATTCTCCGCAATTTTATTCTTAGAATATAATTTGCGGAAATATTTTACATTACAATGCAAAATAATATTAACAAAATTTATATAATGTCATTTTTAAATTATTAAATGCAAATATTGATCCCTGATTTTTACAAACTACATTTTTACAAACTACACTTGTATATTGTATATTTGTATGTGGTATCAGCATTGTAATTGTAAACTTTAATGCGAGAAATTTTACATTTTGTTTATTATATACCTTCGAGTAATTATTAGTCGTAGAGTTACCGTTTCGAAGTACTTACAATTACAATAGAGCAATCTATTAATAAATATTAACCGTATATATTTAACTGCAATCGATTGAACCGCGATTGCTTTCCAGTATATTACTTTTTGCATCCGTGTGCGTTGCGTATAATATTTTTATTTGCGTTATATTTCCTCCTATATAGATGCATTTTCTACTTTCAAATATTTATTACGATGGCCATTTAAGCCATAAAATACAATAAAATTTAATTTAAGTAAAAACAATATAAGAAATATGTATATATACATACATATATATATATATATATATATATATATATATATGTATATATTTATAAAATAAGATGTTTGTTGAATATATGTGAAAGTTTAATACAAAAGTATCTCGTAAATAAATACCAAACTGTATTTTAAGCACTTTCCAAAAAAATATCCGCATTGTTTTTTTCCAAAATATACCATTAGTGAAATTTTACGCACGCAATTTTGCAATTCGTTGTGCACGCACAATGCGAAAGAATATAAATAAATACTTATCGCTATCACTTACCTTAAACTATCACTTAACTGTATTAAAATGATCCAATGTCTGCGCCCACGATGCATCAGACAGCGAGATAATATATGATGCTTCGATCATTTGATCCTTTCTTGTACCTTTCAGTGAGGATGATGTGCTGCTGTCCGGCTTATCACGACGCAAATTACATCATAATTACACTGAAAATCCCTGAAAATTTAGCACACTTTTAGTTAATCGATCACTGAATTCTCGACACTCTTTTATATTTTTAAACGTAACTTTACACCAATTGTTACAGAACAGATTAGAAGGCGCCACTAATGCCCTCACTTTTAGATTCAATACTTTTCACTTGGATATCTAGATATATTCACGTATCGTGGCTGTTGGTTCGAAAAGAATCAAAAATGCTATCACGAACAAGAGATAAAAATGACGATATTCTTTATATTTAGTCTTAATTAAATGTTCAACAGATGTTCAACTATTCATTATAAAATCGCCAATTCGTCCGAGAACTAATCACAATGAGCGAATATCTACACAACGTGACTGACTCGAAAAGTGAAGAACATTGTTAACATCGACGATTATTAAAACATACTGTCTTTAAAAATCACTTACCATCACGCACTTATTGTTGCACTGTCCTTCGAAATTATATTCGATACTTCGATGTTCACTTCACACGTCGTAAACGAGTCTGAAAAACGATAACTTTGCGTCAATCTATAAATTGAAACCTGTAAAGAGAGTTTATTATAATAATCCTTGTGCGACAGATTATTCTAAAAATCGATAGTATTATCGATAACGTGATATCTCACGGAGAATATATCTTTTTATAAGGGTACTGTATGATTTTATGCAACGCGTAAGGAAGAGAAGCGCAGATCATCTTTGAACGATGCGAGAACAAAATTGATAACCGCGCATGCGCGGCCTGGGTATCGCTTCGCGCGCATCGAGGTATCATTGAAACTGACTCGTAAATAAATTCATTTCTGTAATGTCAGATAATTTTCAAAATTACTCACCTCACATGACGACACTTTATTAAACGCAATCCTGCGCAATCAAAGAGGAGCCGAATGCAAAAGAATCAAAAAGAAGAATGAGAGATGAGATACCATGACTCGCTTTTTTAGAGAAAACGAACAATGACTATGGCAGCGCCATCTAGCTCGCTTTTAGATAATTTCTGAAAGCAATGCGCCCTCTATAGACATAGACACGTAGACGTGAACTACGAAGGTAAAATTCATGAATGTTTTCAATGAGTAACACAATGTGCACAACTTCTGGTTGTGTTCCGTGCTATGTGCATGAAATGTCGGTAATATGAGTGCTGTAACGCAAAATGCTCGTATATGTTATATATTTATATAGAAAATTTTTTGGAAAAAAACCACTATTTTAACGAAAAATGCCGATAGTTTAAAGATTAATATATATATATATATTATCTGATAGTAAATAGTAATTATATATCATTCCACCCCCATCATTCACCGCAATCATCATTGAAAATAAAGTATAATATTAATTAATATTTGAAAATAAAGTATAATATTAATTAATATTTGTATATAGATAGTAATATTTTATAATATGCTTGTCATTTTGTTATGCATTTTATTGATGAATAAAATAAATAACTGTAGACTTGAGATAACACAACGTAAAGAACTAATGGAATTGTCAATAAGCAATCTTCGCATCATAGCATATCTTAAAGTTACTTATTGACGACAGCTATGTTTTATAAAACGTTTAATCATCTGACAATGCAGTAACTAAAGGGTTAATTGTCCACTTAATATTAAAAAACGTTTAATCAGCTATGGACAATGCAGTAGCTAAAGGGTTAATTGCCCATTTAATATTAAAAAACGTTTAATCAGCTATGGACAATGCAGTAGCAAAAAGATTAACTGTTCACTTAATATTAACGCTGTGTTGTTGCAATGCAACGAAATTAAACCAAACATCAAATATTACAGTTCTAAGAAGTGACATAGAAGAGATTTATTGAATCTAGTAAATATTATATTTATATTATCTAATATATTTATATTATCTAATATACATAACTTTATTTAATAAGAAATAAATTGTAGATAGATATGCATGTATTAATATTGGAATGTTTGTTACTTGCGATATATATTAGACATTTAACATGTGTATTTTTCTATTTTACATATTATATAAGATTTGCATTTTTTAATGTAGTATTAACTTTTTAATGTAGTATTTCAAACTATACATATAAAATTTTGTACGTACACATGTATCATTGTTGGAGGGAATAAATTTTTATAAATTTGTAAAATAATATAATGATATTTTTGAAAATAAAAAGATTGTATATCATTTAATATATAAATGGATTGGATATATATTACAAAAGGAGACCGGAGCATCACAGAATTATTTTCATTTATATTTTACGTAATTAAGTGTTTATAACACTTTTTTGGAAATAAAGTAATTGATGATTTATAGCGGGAGAAAGAGAGAATTTGATTGAATTGGATGCACTAATGCACACTGATGTATATAAAGACTGGTGTATATTAGTATAATTAAAATAATAAAGTAACTAATATTATAAGTTTTTACATTATATTATATTATATTAAGTATATTATGTTAAGTTAATATTAAATAAAATTATACTGTGTACGTTATTATATTATAAGGTTATTCAATGCAAAAAACGGTAATAATAATTCGTACAATTATTTTATTTATTTTAATTATTTATATGCTATTGTAAATTTGTAGTTATTTATACTAATGTAAAAACGCTACCGTTATGTATCTAAACTACATTATATGAATTATATGAATCACAGAAAACGTATAAATCACTTTTTTTAAATCCATTATTATTTTTATTATAATCAGAATATCTTTTCAATAAACGCCTCTCTCCTATGCCAAAGAGAAGATATGCAGAAATAAATTAATATAAAAAGTTTAATAAAATTCATTTAACAATTATATGTACATATAATTATTTTTATTTATATATAGAACTATTTTTGTTTTATACACATATAACTTTTTTGTCAAACAATTTTTAAAGATTTTTATTCTATTTAACGCCGAGTATCGCACCAGAGAGAAAAAAAAATTACAAACGGAATGCAGTTAATAAGACGTCATGGCAACACATGATCAAATTGATCATTCGAAGTCAGTTATCATTCTTCTTGCTACTAGCCAAAAACACTACCGCGTTCGTCCCTTGATTCAAACTTCATCATATGAATATCACAAAAAACGTGTAATCGTGTACGAATAGTGAATTTTAAAAAGCGTATACGTAGTAACACAATCGTACGAATGATGTGTGTATACAGGGTGATCCAAAAGTATGGAAACGGCCAAATAACTGTGGAGGAATGCACTTTGGAGAAAAAAGTTTGAGACAAAAGTTGTAGGATTTTTCCCGGGCAATCCGACGGTGACCTTAGATTTGACCTTGGATAGTCATTTGAAGGTCACATAAAGATTACCTTCAATTTCTTAAATGGAACCCCCTATTTTTCATTACATATTCTTGTAGCTTATCTCGAGAGCTTTCCAAAACACTATAATTAAGTACCTTTTTATTAAGTACTTTTTGAGTTATAAGGCTTGAAATAATTTCTTAATTTTACATAAACCATAAAATATCTAGTAAACCATTCATTTTTCGATTATCTTACCTTCATACTTTTATGTACAAAATAATGAGAGGAATTAATTGGTGTAAAGAAAACACATAGTTGTTTCTAAGAAAAAATATGTAATTTGCAATTAACAATTCCATATTTTTTCTTAAAAACAACTGTATGTTTTCTTTACACCAATTGATTCCTCTCATTATTTTGTACATAAAAGTATGAAGGTAAGATAATCGAAAAATGAATGGTTCGCTAGATATTTTATGGTTTATGTAAAATTAAGAAATTATTTCAAGCCTTATAACTCAAAAAGTACTTAATAAAAAGGTACTTAATTATAGTGTTTTGGAAAGCTCTCGAGATAAGCTACAAGAATATGCAATGAAAAATAGGGGGTTCCATTTAAGAAATTGAAGGTAATCTTTATGTGACCTTCAAATGACTATCCAAGGTCAAATCTAAGGTCACCGTCGGATTGCCCGGAAAAAATCCTACAACTTTTGTCTCAAACTTTTTTCTCCAAAGTGCATTCCTCCACAGTTATTTGGCCGTTTCCATACTTTTGGATCATCCTGTATATGAATTAATATTAATTCGATTAGCACATTAGAAATAATAGAGTGAGAAGAAAAAACTAATTAAGAATTCAACGGGATTTGATTGAGTGCAAACATTTACAAAAAATGCAAATTATATTTGGAACAATTTTATGTATTTTATCGAAAGATTTAATACTGACAAGAGCAACTATCACGTTTATGCCGAAAAATTATATCACTTCAAACAACCTTCAGACAAGAAATGTTTCCATATATGCGGATTTAAACTTCACGCAGGTGAGAGATACTTTTCGTTTGATTAAGAAACAATTGAATATTATTGCAGCTGGTAATTCATAAATGAATGATAATAATTTATATATACTCTCTCTATCTAATTCTCTCTCTATATAAAAAGATACAATAAAATAAAACTCTCCAACATAAAAGAAAAAGTGTGTTGTAAAAAAAAAATGTATAAAGTTTCGAAATTTTATTTATAAATGGAAGTGCTACATATAGTATAATATATTAAGTTTAATTAAAACAATATGTTAAAACTCGATTGTATCTCTCTCCCTCTCTCTCTCTCTCTCTCTCTCTCTCTCTCTCTCTATATATATATATATATATATATATATATATATATATGTGTGTGTGTGTGTGTGTATACATATAATTATTATTTCTAAAAATAACAATTTTTAAAATTAATAAAGTTTGCTGCTTACTATATATCCGTTACATTAATATATATATATATATATATATATATATATATATATATGTACGATGACACATGAACAGACTTTTAAGTCATTTTTCTTCAATTTCTAAAATTTCTTTATTTTTCTAGATATTTGTAATAATATTTATTGATATATAGTATAAAGTTTATACTAATGTAGATTTCATTTCATAAAATTAATTTAGAAAATCGTTAGTAATATCGGCAAATTTTTGAAAAAAAGATTAAGTTACGATAAAATTGGAGAAAAGTTATCTAACCTAACATGAAAAAATCAAATTGTTAGGCACAAAATTGTTTCAACAATTGCAAAGTGCTACACTTTTACTTGTATTATTTACTAAGAGTAGCCATTATATATCCTTGTTGATTCTTGTTAACCTATTGATTGATCTTCTATTTAATATATATATTTGTTTTTATACAAGATGTTCAAAAAGAAATTAAAAAATAGATTTTATAATATAAATAAAACTACATCATATTTAATATATATATATATATATATATATATATATATATATATCAATTAGGAATGATATATTGTATATCAAACCAGTATTATTAATCCAATAAATAACAAATGGCAATTTTTCGTTTAATTTTATTACTTATAGATATAATTTATCATTAAAAGCAACAGAAATAATCGCGTTTTTGCTCTAACGATACTCACTCAATTCTTTTTGTATGTTATACTTTATGACTATATTTTGTATGTTATACTTTATGAAGGATATTTTAATGTCCGGAAAAAGTGATCATCATATACTAAATTTCAAATCTGACTGGAGTCATTTTGATAATATGACTATGAGAAGTAAGCGAGAAGTCGGTGAGGTTCCACCTGCAAATATTCCTATCACTCCAGAACCTATCAGTAAGTTACAATAAAATACATTAAATAAAATGCATTAATAATAAAATCTATGACAAAAAATTGTAAATATAATTTAAATTCAAATGAGAATGGAAATCAAATCTAAAAATATCTTCTAGTAGTGAGAAAAATATAAATTCTATTCTGTTGTGAGAAAGAAATAGAAAATCATAATATTGTAAAAATAATATTGTAAAAATCATAATATAAACATAATATTGTAAAAAATTTTATAATTTTTTTATAATTTAAGATAAAGTCAATATATATTTTATCAATTTGCCATTTTGTTTTTAAGCAATCGCAA